CCCGTGGCTGGAGTTGTGTTTTGTACCCGTGTCCTGCCCGAGGCTGTTCGTTGTGCAGCAGTATCTGGCAGTAGCGATTCTGGCTCCATCCTAGCCCTGAGATATGTGTCTCAGGCTTCCCGAGGCTCTGCTCCATGTCTGTTTTCCAAGGGAGATGCTCTACCGTAGACATTTCACTGCAGGTGTTTGCAGAGGGGCTGATGGAAGCTGCTGTTAGCAAAGGCAAGGGTTTAAAACAAAGTGCCTTGAGCTTACCTGAACAGCTGCAATGCCATTGTCCAAGTCCACTACATGCCCACCGTCCTGGGAAGGTGTCAGGACCATGGGATGAGCTACAAATAGAATCAGACTTCCTTGTTATCCAGTAAGGAATCCCCACAAACAGCCCCAGTCCAAAAGATTTCCCTGTTCACATCATTTCCTACTCCTTCAGCTCTTTACACACCATACAAGTCCTTCTGCTGATCCCAAGTGCAGTTTCCTTCTTTCAGGAGATACAATTTTTTTACCTATGAAGAGCTGAAACCTAAATTTATTGCTCCATACCTTTGGAATACAGCTGGAATCAACACCCAGAAGTGTTTGCCAGCAATGAGTATTGTAGTTCCCCTCAGCACTAGGATTCTGTTGGATGCAACTCCCTGTAGCATCAGCTGCAGCTTTTAATGCTGTGATTCCCAGGCTGCTCTAACTGGTGTTCCAGGTTTGCCCTTCCCATTTTCTTGATGAAAACTGCCATTTCTCCCCAAATCTGGGCTCCAGGCTGCCTGGATTGGGAGCTGGGATGCAGAGCAGCCCTGGGTCTTGGTAAGAGTCAGCACTGGTGGCACTTACTGGTCTTGTGAAGCAAGTTGGGAGCACTGGTGCCACTGCCCCAGCTCCAGCCTGGCCTGTACATAGAAGTAAGGTGAGTTCTGCTGCACTAGATTGTTTAATGTGCAAAAAAATTAAATCCCAAACAAAGTTAGGAGGGAGAAGCAGCAAAAATTCTCCTGTCAAATCCTCCTGCTTTTGAATCACCAGGAATCGAGTCTGTAGGTTGGTTTTAGCTCTTTTCTGTCCCTGTAAGCTTGGAGGAGAGAATCACTCACCAGACAAGCTCTGTCTGTGTGAAACAGCAACTTCAGTGTTCAGATAACAACTGTCTTAATTAGCCTTTTAGGGCAACTTTGTACCTCATGGATTCATTTCTGCCCAAAGCTCCTAGGCACTCAGAGTTCCTCACTCAAAACCAGCCAAAGCAGGAGTGTAATGGATGGATACACACAACTCATCATTCCAGACTGTGGAGCACAATTCCTGCTCCAGGTAATGCTCATGGTGCATCAAACACTGATCAACCCACTGTGGGTTGGTGACAAGTCTCTCTGCAGTGCTAGGCTAGCAGTAGTTTGGGTTTAACTTGGTTTCTGTTAAAGAAGAAAATGAACAAAAAAAACCCACCTTGAAGGATGCAAAATGCCAAAAAAGTGCCCTGGCCACTGGAGTGAGAGCTGACAGAGGTGGGGAAGGAGCCAGCCCTCCATACTGGGAGCACTGGGGTGCAGCAGGAGCTCTGTGAGGCAGTGCTGGGGGGTCTAAAACCATCACACAAAGCATCAACCATTGTACCTCAGAACTTTCAGACCATTTCCACTGCCTGCAGGGTACATCCTGCCACTTCCACTCTCCACTGAGAGGATTTTGGAGCTTAGCTGTCAGTCCTGCTGGGGGGGGGGGGCAGAGGACACACACACCAGGGTCGTGCCTGAACTCTCTCAGTTTGGCACAGGGACATCAAGTCACCTCTTGCTGCGTGGCCAAGAGATTCCTTTTGCAAGGAGCTGCATTTCCCTCAGCTGCAGATGTACTCTGGGAGCTCCCTCAAGGGCTATTGAGGGTTGTGTTGAGCATTTGTTCTAGCTTTCCCTGTTGGGAAGGAGTAGATGGTCTTGGTTTAGCCCTCAGTGTAAAGGGAGCAAATAGCAGCAGCTCAGTCCTGGTCCTGAGCTGTGCTGGATCGTCCTTGTGAGCATCAACCTGTGCAGGTGTGAGCCAAACCTCACCTCTGGAGGTCATAGGGCTCTGTGTTTGTGGGCCAACCTTCATTTCTGGAGGCCACAGGGCTCTGTGCAGGTGTTTGTGAGCCAACCCTCACCTCTGGAGGCCACAGGGCTCTGTGTTTGTGAGCCAGCCCTCACTTTTGAAGGCCACAGGGCTCTGTGCAGGCCCAAGGCTCAAAGTCTGTTCCTTGTCCCTCACAAGGTGCCATGGTGGAGAAGATGTTAATAAAATGTACAAAGTTCAGACCTCCAAGATGACATCTCCGTGTTTGGATTCTTCCTGTCTTGTTTTGTGTATTATTTAAAGATGTACATTCTAGTCCAAGCACTGCGTTGCTGTTTGAGGTTGTGTTTTCACTTTTCAGGGTATTTTTATAACTGTACAGTAGCAATAAAGGAAAAAACTTACTAGAAAACTCAGCTGGGTACGTGTGGGAATGTCTTGAAGCACAGACCAAGCTGTGAACAAATAGCTTTGGGGATGTGCAGCACAAGCAGCACTTCACATGCTCTGGGTCAGAAGAGTTTCTGCAGGAGCTTTTCACATTCCATAGAGCAGAGTGGGAAGTACCAACTCCAAATTGCCTCAGCAGACCTTAATTCCATAGCCCTGATGGACCTACCACTGAAGGGCAGAGCCCAGCACCAATTCCAGTGCCTGAAATTAAACAGGGATCAGTTCCCATTCTCACTCAGTACTTACCATTGCTGATTCCTCAACATCTGCTGGTGACTGGACAGTCTTCCCTCACTCCAGCAGGATTCCCTGTGGGCATGGAAGGTGAAGGCTTTCAGGAGTCAGGATGGGATCCCTAGGGATAATTATTTAGAGAACAGACACTGACTAACAGCTTTCCACACCGTGTTGTCCATAGAAATGGTCCAGCCCAGTTCTCCCCAAAAAAGGTCCTTTCTTGCTGCCTGGTTTTTGGACAGAGGAGCTGAGGAAGGAGAGACCCTTGTGCTTCCTCCTGCCCCACTGCAAGAACAGCCTCCCACAGGGGCAGAGGAGGTGGAGCAGCAGAGGAATACAAGCAGACAAGAGTTACAGTGACTAAAACACTCACACCTTAGCTCTCCTCTCCATGTCAGACTCATTTGTACTTTATTTGTAAAAAAGTCCCAAGCAAACCAGAGCTCATTGACAGAAAAGACACCAAAGTGTCACCTGCTGAAGAGCATCAGCTCTGGACAATTACAGCTTGTGCTTTCTAGTGTTTATCAACCACCTCGAGGTTATGGAGTATTTGGATTTTTTTTTGGAACACTGGTTAGATTAAGATCAGCTGAGAACACACTTCCTCCTGAGCAAAACAAGGCTGTTCATCACCACAGAGTCAGCAGGACTGCAGCAACATTCCACAGGGAGAAGGTGTCCTTGGCTTTGGGATCAGCAGACAGGATTTATTAGCAAGTTACCCACTCCTCATCTCCTCTCTCAGTTCCATTCACCCACTCAGTCCCTTCAATCACCACAAAATGAATGAAAAATCAACAGTTCCAGAAGGATCTAAAGAGAACTTCAGAGCATACAGCCCCTGATTGCTGAGCATTTCACTTCTTGCCTCTGGCCATGAGCTTCCTGAAGGTGAGGTTGATCCTGGGGGCGAGCACCCTCCTGCGTGGGGGCAGGCTGTGGTACCAGTACAGGTTGGTGGGGTGGTTCATCATGAGCAGGCTGCCATGGGCCAGCTGCAGCTGGATCCTGCCCAGCCCGGGGGCTTTGCCCCTGCCCCTGCAGTCCTTGTGCCGCAGCACGAAGTCCCTGCAGGCTCCGAAGGACACGGAGGCGATGGGACTGCAGGGAAGCAGCTCCTTCTCGTCGTCTCGGTGCTCCCCGATGTGGTCCAAACCATCCTTGTACCTGTGCACAGACACACTCGTCAGCTCTGCCAATTAAAGCACATCGAACAGCTCCTCGGGGATCTGCTGAGGGCTGCACAAGGGGTTTCTGTTTCAGTGGAAGAACTGTGAACAGTTTGGGCACCACAATGTAAGAGAGAGATTAAGCTCTTAAGAGTCCAAAGGAGGGACATGAAGGTGCTGAAGGAACTTGAGGGGCCACACAAGGAAGGGCTGAGGGCACTTGGGCTGTTCAGCTAGAGAAAAGGAGGTTGTGTGGACACCTCACAGCACCTTCCAGTGACTGAAGGGGCTACAAGGAAGCCAGAGAGGAACTGTGCATCAGCAACTGGGTGATAGGACAAGGGGGAATGGGTTCCCAGTGCCAGAGGGCAGGAATAGATGGGATATTGGAGAGAAATCAGTCACTTGGTCTGTTCAGCTGGAGAAGTGGAGACTGAGGGGAGACCTCATCATTGTATACAAGTTCCTCAGGAGGGGCAGTGCAGGGACAGCTCTGACCTCTGTGAACAGTGACAGGACTCGAGGGAATGGTCTGAAGTTGTGTCAGGGGAGGGTTAGGTTGGGTATCAGGACAAGGTTCTTCCCCCAGAGGTGTTTGGGCACTGAACAGCTCCCCAGGGCAGTGGTCACAGCCCCTTGGCTGACAGAGCTCCAGGAGTGTTTGGCCAACACTCTCAGGCACAGGGTGCATTGTTGGGGTGTCCTGGGCAGGAGTTGGGCTGATGATCCCTGTGGGTCCCTTCCATCTCTGTGCTGTGTGACAGGGTGTTAGGTGCAGCTGGAGCCCAGAGGTACCTGTTGATGAGGACGAAGTTGAAGCTGTGCCCTGTGTCCAAGGCAATTCTCTCCCTGATCCGTTCGAGCACTGGGATCCAAGGCTTGGGAGACAAGGTCACACCTGAGTAAGTGTAGGTCAGCTCAGGGTCTCCATAGGTCACCACCTTCCTGGGAACGTTGTGCCACACCCCAAATATGTGCAGCTTTGTCATGTCACCTGTTTGAACAAGAAAGGAGAAGGATCAAAAGCAGCTCCGTGTTAGCTCTGCCCAGTCCAACATTCTGCTGGATCTGCAGCTTCTGGGAATCTCCAGACAACAGGATTGAGGATGTTTATGGCAACACAAAGACTGCCAACCCTGTTCCCAGTGTTTCTGTCCCCAAAAAAGGTGGACACTGCCTTGCTGTACCCCTTGAACAGGATGAACAGGACCAGCACCCCCAACCCATTCTGCTGCTGACCTCACACAACTGAGGATATCTCACACACTGCATCTTCCAACAGCCTCCAGTATTATCCCACTTCTCTACAAACATGACTAAAACCACTTGCCAAAAGCTTCCAACTGAGCAAAACCCAATCCTACAGGATCACACCTGTGTTCTTGGCTTCCCAGGGCCAGACAGAAACACAAACACCAGGTGCCTGCAGAAACCTATCCCAGCACCTGCCATGTGTATCCTGGCCCTGGGAATTGCTTGGGACTCACCTGGGGTAGGCTGGGTAGGGAAATGATTCCCTGGACAGGGAGAAGCCTAATTGAGCAGTGAAAAGCCTCCCTAGGCAGGGACAAGGCTCAATGGGCACAGAAATGCCTCCCTGGGCAAGGAAAAGCCTCACTGAGCAGGAAAGTGGCTCATTGGGCAGGGAAAAGCCTCCATAGGCAGGGAAAAACCTCAAAGGATAGGGGAAAGCTACAATGGATAGGGGAAAGTCTCAATGGATAAGGAAAAGCCTCAATGGATAGGGAAAAGCTGCAATGGATAGGGCAAAGCTGCAATGGATAAGGGAAAGTCTCAATGGTTAGGGAAAAGCTTCAATGGATAGGGAAAAGCGTCCCTGGGCAGGGGAAAGCTGCAATGGATAGGGGAAAGCCTCAATGGATAGGGAAAAGCTGCAATGGATAGGGGAAAGCCTCAACGGATAGGGAAAAGCTGCAATGGACAGGGGAAAGTCTCAATGGTTAAGGAAA